GCGCCAACATGCCTCCCCATAAAAAGCATGTTCCCCCCATCACAAGACTCTATCTAATAATTACATGGTGGCAAGTGGCTTCCTCTATGGGCACAGGGTGAGCTACAATTTTGTGCAAAAAAAAAGGCCTTAGCACCCCAAAGTCTAGTTCAAAAACAAAAAAAACGTTGTGCGGGGCATAGCTGACATCTTGTGGAGCAAATTCTTTAAAAGTGGTGTGTAGAAATTTCTATTCAATCACCTAACTGCTACAACCAAGACAAAAAATAATCTTGGAGCCTCAGTGCACTTCCTATTTAACATTAGCCAGTCATGTCAGTTTCTGGGAACTTTGACCAAAGGTGACTTTTTAAAAAACAAAATGGATTGGAGGCATAGGTGTAAACAGCTTCACGCAAACGATGTTTGAGCCACCCCACTATTAAATATAAACCAAGACTGAAACCAAAAGCTAGAGACTTCTTCAGTCTCAACAGACAGGGAAAGGACATGGATACACAAACATAAGCAAACAAGTGCCGCAGGCTTGCTGGACTTAGCAATCAAAAACAAAAGATATTCACTTAAATTTGAAAGTTAAATAAGCAATGAATAATATTTAAGGATATGTAAGCCCCTAATTTGGCAACTTCAAAGTGCAGACTACGTAGCTTCAGAGACTTCAGCAAAGATGAAGGCTTTAGCTGATGCAAAAGCACTTTAGGACTCCAGATGTTGTATCTTGAACTTAAAGCACCTATTTGCTCAGCAGTTGTGAGCATCTGGCAACAGAATAGATTCATAGAAGTCTTAGCAAACAGATTCATCAGAGGTAAAGGTTTCACTATATGTAGAAGAGAGTCATCTCATTTAGAAAGCCGTTGAGACCTTATAGGATAGAATTATATTTTCTGAAATTAAACTGTGAGGAGTTGGTCCATCTGCAATGCAAAGCCCTACAGAGGATCACTGAGAATTCACACCTCCAGACTCACTATCATAAATTCAGTTAGCATTCTTGTCCCAAACAGGCAACTGCAGATGAAGCTTACTGAGCTTGAATTCCTGTGACGTGAACACATGCTCAAGAGGCACCCAGTGCCACAAGAACCAGGTCTGACTCCAGAGGGATTAATTACATAAGAAGAAGATCCTCCCTAAGGAGGCTGGTTGGCAGGTTTCTCAGGCCCAGATGACAAGATTTAGCAGAAACCCTACAGCACAGGACCCTCAAATGCCTTTTATAGATAAAAAGGAGGCTTTTTCTTTTTTTGACATTTTGGGCCTACATACAATTTATTATTGGTAGGGGAAGATGGAGAAGATTGAAAATAATGAGCACGAAAGAAAACTACTAGAAGTACAGTCACCAAAACTTGTGAGCTTTGTGACACATGTCTCAGTTTTTACACTGAAAGACATGGTTTTCACCTGCTAGGAATATAGAGATCCAAAATAAGTTTAGGTTTGCAGGTCATACATTTCAAGCAACTGACAAAGGCCAACTAGCATTTAATATGGTTTAAAAAAAAATTCCTCCATTTTTTTATCCTTAATTTAGGTACCACTGACTTTGTACCATCATGTGTGTGGATGTGTATGTGCACACATGCACACACATGTGTTTAAAAATTACAACTATAGCTTCGGGAAAATAATCATATAATTGTGCTTGGTATTTTAGCCTGGGAGCTTAGAATGTGTGTGTGTGTGTGTGTGTGTGTGTGTGTGTGTGTGTTTCTAATTTGGGAAGCATGGACCCAGTGCTTAGATATTCTTGCACATATTAATTCTTTATATGTTTTTAAAATAAAAAATTATTTATGCTGAACTAATACAATTTTTGAGACCCGGAAATTACCACATGCATTGCAATGGAAGACAACTCAGAAAATAATTTCTAAAAAATTCTCGATCCCACCATGCATTGATAACACTCTTGTTCAATTTGTCCAAAATAAAAAATACAATAAGAAGTAGAGACAATAGACTCTAGAAAAAAAATTAACAATGATTTTAGACTCTAGATCTTTTACTAAAAGCCATAGAATTTGACTTTAAAATTTAATTCTTTCAGACTTTGTTTCTGGATTTAATATTTCAAGAGAATTCAAATCTTTAACATTCTATTTATCTTTAGAATGCAACAACAGGAAAACATCTTATTAAAATTTGGGAATCTCAATGTGGCTGACATTCTATTACTGGAGTGATGACTATTTTGATATTAGAGTTTTTTATGATACTATTTCATTTCATTAGAGAACATCTAATAGATTACACTGGACAATCTGAGTGAACAAAACTTGTGATAGGAAACAGAATAAAAAAACAAACTTTCAGCCTTGGGAATAGAGTAATCCTGAAAAAAAACAACTAAAAGACAAATCTGAACCATTTCAGAGCTTTCCTAATATATAAACTTAATGAAGCCTGCTGACCTAAGGAAGCTGTCTAAGGAAGATATCTAAAAGAACAATCATTGGCCCTTTGAGAGTAGCCTCATGTGGTTGAAGCCATATCATTCTAATAGGTGGTAACTAAGCTACAGCACGACTGGCCAATTATTGACTTATAGTTAAGTCCAGTAGGTTAAAAGTAAAGAATAAAAGCTAGAAATGGCTCTGCCATTTCCCTTTGCTTCTTGACCTTCCTGGGAAGCAATGTAGCCCAGGAGCAGGAAGCATAAAACAAATTGGTACTCAATATCCACTGTACATCCTAGCATTTCTTCCTCTAATGCAGTGACCTAGATAGAAAAATCACCTTCCCTAGATATTTTGTCTTCATTCATATGAAAGTTAAAATTGGACTCTTTCACTAATGATTTTTATTGCAGCTCCCAAGTATCTCAGAACCTCAAAGAGATAAGTACTATTTCTTGAACTTCCTCACAACTTGCTACATTGAAAAAAAATATAGACTGACTGTAGAATATTTGGAAACTACAAGAAAACGAAGTGTATTATTTAATTTGAGTTGCTTGTCGTTTTCTTACTAATAGGATGTCTTTAATATGTATGGACAGCAATCTTTGGCAAAAAATGATTAACTAGCATTATATCAAATTGGTAACCCCCATTATTCCCATTCATCCTTCATATCATTTTAAGAGTGAACTTTCTAAAACTTCAGTATAGTTATATGAATCCTATGCTTGGAAGCATGCATTTCAGATAAAGTTACATTGAAATTCCCTATTCAAAGATGATTGCCGTTTGTATGGCCATTGTCTACATCTCAACCTTATGTCTTACTCTGCTTACTCTGTCACCATGCTCCTACTCCTCAAACCCACTTTCACACAATGCAACCTCAATTTAAACAGGATCATTCCATGCCCTGCTTAACACCCTGTAAAATTTCCATAATATCTAGCAAATAAATTTCAAGCTCATTAAAAGGGTTTTCAAGGTCACCCAAGATCTGACCCTGGCTGAACTCTGCAGCTCCATTTTCTGTCATGATTTACTTCACAATTTATGGTCTAATAATATGAAAGTATGTATACAGTCCCCAGGGTCATGTATAATTCCTAACACCTGAGTCTTTGCTCATGCATGGTCTTAATTTTGAAATCCTATCCCTTTTGCTTCTATAGGCTGTCTTCTCATTTTTAATTGTCAACTTCAATACCCTTCCCTCCCAAACTCTAAAAAATATGAGGTCACTTACTGCATGCTGCCATATCATGTATAGACATCTATGATAAAACTTTTCACATCATTTATAAGTATTTAATTGTATAAATTGCTCCCAATAGATTTAAATCCTTAAGGACAATCACTCAATTATATGACTATCCCCCCAATACTTGAAGAATAGAAGGCACTCAATAAATATATATTGGATTGAACAGTGAAGAAATGACTTTATTCTCTGGTTAGTAATCATGGAGAATAACTAGAAAATCTTTAAATGAATCTTACACTTTCAACTATATCTGAAGTTTAAGTTGATGCAGCATTTTTATGGCTATATTTTTCATATTTAACATATAAATTTTTGCCAGCAATTCAATATATAGAAAAATATCACATATATGAAGCATTATATATGATGTATATCTGTCTATCTATTTATATAGAGATAGAGAAAGAGAGAGAGAAAGAAAGGAATTTTGAGATATTGAGTCTAGAGAAAAGAATCTTAAGATTTCAATTATTGATCAATCTTATAAGAAAGTATTTTAAGATATTGAGCCAATACTTAAAATTGATCAATCTTATAAGAAGTATTTTAAGATATTGAGCCAATACTTAAAATATATATATATATTTTATATATATATATATATTTATATATATATATATAGAGAGAGAGAGAGAGAGGTAGAGATAGAGAGAAAGAGAGAGAGAGACAAAGAGGTATACATATGTAGACACATATAAAACCTATTTGTGGGTTATGAAGCTTAGTTTTGCTGGATTTGAAATTCTAGGTTGAAAGTTCTTTTCTTTAAGGATGTTGAATATTGGTCCCCACTCTCTTCTGACTTGTAGGTTTTCTGTGGAGAGATCTGTGGTGAGTCTGTTGGGCTTCCCTTAGTGGGTAATTCAACCTTTCTCTCTGGCTGCCCTTAGCATTTTTCCTTCATTGCAACACTGGTGAATCTGACGATTATGTGTCTTGGGGTTGTTCTTCACTGAGGAATATCTTTGCGATGTTCTCTGTATTTCCTGAATTTGAATGTTGGCCTGCTTGCTAGGTTGGAGATGTTCTCCTGAATAATATCCTGAAGAGTGTTTTCCAGCTTGGATTCCTTCTCCCTCTCACATTACGGTACACCAATCAAACATAGATTTGGTCTTTTCACATAATCCCATATTTCTTGGAGGCTTTGTTCATTTCTTTTCACTCTTTTTTAGCTAATCTTTATTTCATTGAGTTGATCTTCAGTCTCTGATATCCTTTCCTCTGCTTGATTGATTCAGCTACTGAAACCTGTATATGTTTCACGAAGTTCTTGTGCTCTTTTTTTCAGCTCCATCAAGTTGTTTATGTTCTTCTGAATTCTGGTT